TCAACATCACAGTCCTTACTTGCATTCTTGACTAGCTTAAGAATACGCCTCTTGTCTCTGCTGGCAGTACACCTGGCAGACACCTGACCTCTTTTAAAACCTCCATATCCTTTCCTAAATTTACATCCCTTACAATTAAATCACCAACCAGAAGGTGACTTCTCTTTTTGCATACCTTGCTCTTCTTGTGCGACTGATGTGTGACACCTGGTTCCCCATTTCGCCTTTCCGAAGTAAGTTCTTTATTTTGGACTAAGATCCCCTGCTTATTTGAGTTGTCATTATCACAACTACCTTGACCTGTCACTTTAGTGTCCCCATTAAGGTCAACATGGGCAGTATATCTGTTATGCTGGGTCACAGCAAAAGCTTTGTTTATGACAAAAGCTTTGTGTTTATGTACTTAAAATGTACTTCATGTTTGTTTAACTGAGTATGTATATATTAATTTAATTTAAGTAGTTTTCAGCAACAAATGCTTACAATTTTGTTCTCTGTGATTATATTAGACAACACTTTTAACAGTTTTATGTTAAAATAATAAATTATGGCATAGTAAATTATGAAATATTTCAATGTAGATTTTTGCTTTTTTGTTGTTGCAGTTCCCGGAGTGTGGGTTTTTTGGCATGTATGATAAAATTCTCCTATTCCGCCATGATCTGAACTCAGAAAACATTTTACAGCGAATTACATCAGCAGAAGAGATACGGGAAGGTGATCTTGTTGAGGTTGTTCTGTCTGGTAAGAATATCTGTTTTCAATGCAATCCTCATATTTATACCCTAGTATTACCTATTGGAAATAATTGTAATTTATAAATTGTAATATAAATATTTTTAAATGCTCACACACTGCAGAGTTGATGAAATATTTTGTAGAATTGGATATTAAAGATGAAAATATGAAAACTCATTTTTTTAAATTGGAAATTGATTCATCCTGATTATTTACTGTAGTGACCTAACGTCATGGAATCAGTAGGTTTTTACTTTTGAGGTTTGTGGGCGATTATATTTTAAACAGTATAAAATGTCATAGTTATATCCATACTTTTTAAATTTTATGTAAAGGTATTTGTGTCATGGTCTTGTAGCATTTAAGGCATTGTATTCACTATATTGATATTTTTTTTAAGTATTTCAATATTCAGGAAGGCATTAAAATGTACTTTTTTATATATGTATTTTTAAAGCATTAGCTACAGTTGAGGATTTCCAGATTCGACCTCACATGCTTTACGTTCATTCCTATAAGGCCCCTACATTTTGTGATTATTGTGGAGAGATGCTTTGGGGCTTGGTACGGCAAGGACTGAAATGTGAAGGTAAGGCAATTAATAACAATGAGTGTTATAAACAATGTTTATGTCCTAAATCCCCAGATGTGGTATATAGTTACAGAGATGTTTCAAAAGCATGTCATTTGCATGCCATAATTTAAGTTAATAATTCTTTTCCTACATAATAGAATTATATAATAAGAAGAATTATGTTTGGTTTATGGGAAGAAATGATGCTACATAAACTTTTGAGTTCCTTGTAGAAAGTCTAGTGTATGCAAAAGGCCATGTTGATGCAATATTACAAATAATGAGATGATGCAGTGTGGGATTTTATGTTTTATTTTTGTACTTCAATATATTTATAAGTTATCTAGAACGAAAAACCCTTTCCATATGTCTGTTTCCTAATCATTATCAACAGGGATGTGTTTCTGTCAACATTACTGCCAGTTCGGTGCATGTGCAGTTGCCTGTAAATAGGTCTATAAAATGTAAAAATGTCAAAAAAACATGCAGTGACCAGGGAACCGGTTCAGGGGCATGACAAGCCTGCCATTCCTACCGGTTTGGCGACCCAGTCGCAATTTCCACTATCAGTTTGCCTGAACCGGTGCAAACCGGTAGCAACCCACCTCTGATTATCAAGTTATTAATAACAAGCGCTGGGTAAATTATTAGTGGGGACAGTTGGTAACAGCTTTTGAAGCAGCTGTTGAAGTTTGAAAAAAGTTCAGCTGCTTTAATCATTTGAAAACAAGTGTTTTGTATGCACTCCTGCACTTATTTCACTGTGCATACAGAGTATACATCCCTTGATAATTCTGGAGCACTTCTTCTGATGTATTAATGCACAGGCGCATTAATAACCCAAGTCCTATTCATTGGCTTGTACTCTAATCTGGTGGTTCTAACAGACTCAGGAGTACAGTGTTTAGATAATCTGCTGGGGAAAGAGCTGAGGAAAATCAGCAGCAGTGTGAATTGCATAACAGGCACTGTTTTGCAGCTTTAGCCAGGGTGAAGTGGGGTCAGAAAAGCAAATATTCAGGCCAAAAACATTCCATGCATTGCAGAGATCTGCTGTTAATTACATGATCATGGCAACGTTAGAGGTGTTGGTTCAGTTTTTTAAAAATGTGTTATCTTTGCCATATATTTTGCTTAATCTGTCTTTCATGAAATAAAATCCAAGAAAATGTGTAGCATCACCAGTAAAAGTCTATTTATCTTTTCCTTTGCTCCCCCTCCCTGCATTAATTTCATTAGGGTGTGGATTAAATTATCACAAGCGATGTGCTTTTAAGATTCCAAATAACTGCAGTGGAGTAAGAAAGAGGCGGCTATCTAATGTGTCTTTACCAGGAGCTGCACTTTCTGTCCCAAGATCTGTACAAACTGAATCTACGTCCACAGAAGAGGTATTTAATTTTTTTCTTTTCAAAGAAGAATTAAAATCAATTTGGTAAAATACTGTTATTACCCAAAGCACATAATCCTAATTTCTGTACCTCTTAATCATATGGAACTTTGTGTTATTCAGACTTAATTTTAGCTGAGAATGGTCACTTCAAATAATCTAACTTTTCTTAAAATCCGAATTTTGCTTTTAAATGAATGTGTATGCATGTACATTGGCATATTTTGATTTATTGGGCATTTAGTTCACTTTTTAGTGCCTATCAAAACAGATAGTAGAAACTGTTGACTATTCTACAGTCTCAATTTAAACAAGGCATTTAACAACTGTTCAAAGTTATGATGAAGTTGAAAAAAGTGAATTTTGATTGGTACTTACATTTGCAATTTTCACAACATCCCTGTGGTTAGTGATCAAAATTTGAGTGCTTGGCAATTGGTCATTTGCAATCTTCCTAGCCACCTTCCAACAAGCAAAGTGAATGGGGGAAACTGAATTTAACTGCAACAAAATGGTTAACTCAAGGGGATGAACATATCCAACACACCTTCCTCCCTGTGTTTTCCCTACAACAACCCTGTGAAATGGGTTGGGTTGAGAAAAAGTGATTGGTCCAGAGTTATCCATGGCCAAGGTGGGTTGAAAGTTTTTCTTTTTTGCAGCGTTGTCATCCAGAACCTAGTAAAAGAATTCCTTCATGGAGTGGGCGTCCGATATGGATGGAAAAAATGGTTCTTTGCCGGGTGAAAGTCCCACATACCTTTGCTGTACATTCTTACACTCGACCTACCATATGTCAGTACTGCAAGCGATTGCTCAAAGGCCTTTTTCGCCAAGGAATGCAGTGTAAAGGCAAGTGTTTTTTCTGCAAGTTAATGTCAACTATCAAGGCTGTAAAGCCTTTTTAATTATAAAATTAAAGCAGAATAAGAAGCTTAGAATGGTATGATGATCAAGAAACTATATAAATAAGATTACATATTTTTTTTATGGAAGGCTCTGTTCCTCTTAACAATTTTCTGTTTGAATATACTGGATACAATTGATGAATAATATTCTCTTCTGAGTTGAATCGTTTGCCTGCAAGAAATTCCTTATTGGTTACTATTACCTGGTGAATGTTTAGACTGGACAAAGTTGCATTTTAAACTTATTAGATTCAAAATTAATCCAGTATTACTAATGTTATTTATCTTGTAATTAGTCTTTTTTTCTTTCTGACTTGTCTAAACTGATTGTGATCATAAAAAAATATCAGTATTTCCACAAGGATGAAAAAAGTTTATGATTTCAAATTCTGGTTAAAATCTAAATATGCATAATACCATTGTAAAATACACATAACATCATGTCTGATGCTGACAAGGAAACAGGTAGATCGAAAATTCACAACTCACTTTCTTAATTGCAGTTTAGATATTGATAATTCTATTTCTGTGCTAGATCTTAGTTTTAAGCTATCTTCTTGGGAGTGCTCCAGCTCTCATCAGTCTCATTCAGTTGGAATGGCTGAATTAAAAGAACCTTGCAATGGTAGTACCACAATATACAGTTTTATGTCTGTATGTCAAAATGCAGCTTTGATCCAAATGCAGCTTTGATCCAAATAATTACTTTAATTTTCTTATTACTTTAAAAATAAATAAAAGTTACTTCAAAAAGAGGCTTTAAAGAGATTATACAAAAATAATAAATACATAAATAAAAATTTCCCCTTAATTTAGATTGCAGATTCAATTGTCATAAACGCTGTGCCTCTAAAGTACCTAAAGATTGTTTGGGAGAAGTTGTCTTCAATGGAGGTAAGATATGCGTTGTAAGGTATTGCTGGAAACATAACTTTGGGTTGTGGTATGCATGTGTGACTTTTCTTTGCATTTCTTCTCCATGTTCTGCATATATCAAAATTATTATCAAATATGTAGAGACTGTCTAGACTAGCAGAGTGAAATAATTTATTCATACAAGTAGTCCTTGAGTTATAATTGTAACGGAGCCTGCTCTTTATGGTCACAAATTGTGACTGTTAATAAGTGAGAAGCCCATGTGATTGCCTCACTTAATAACCTCTATCCCTGGTATCCCCAGTGTGGATGCCTCAGGGGTCAGGAAGGCTCTAGGAGACCTAGTGCTGGCCCAGACCCTCCTCCCTGGGCCTCCCAAGGCCTCTCTCCACCCTTTCCACTTTCTGCAGGCCTTATTCTGGCTTCCCACTCCACTAGGTTCCATATCTTCCTCTCCATCCCGCTCCCATTGGTGATCCCGCATTTACATTTGTACAGTAGGTATCTGGAGTTCTGGACCTCACATTGGGGGAGAAGAGCAGGCTGCTCCATCCCCTGCATCCTAGCAGGAGCACTACAATGACCATAATTTCACAATTGGGTTGTAAGTAACTTTTGGGAGGTCTGTTTCAACTTTGAATGGTCCCTAAGTGACTGGTTGTAAGTCGAGGACTACCTGAACTACCAGAAAGAAAGTGTTGGACACAAAACTTTACTTTTAGCAATGCCTGAAGTTTTAATAGGAGTTATTAGAATGAATATTTGTCTAATTCTTTTAAATTTCTCTGAAGAGGAATACTCACTACAAATAGTCCTCAAATTATGACCAGCGACTTAGTGACTGTTTAAAGTCATTATGACACACTCCCAAAAAGTTACTTATGGCCCACTTTCAAAGTTATGAACTCATATGGTCTTTTGCCATTATGACTGACTACAGGAATGCTGTAGTGCTCACCCATCTACGCATCCCATCCCACTGGGTCCTTCTATCCAAGGGAGATCAGGCCAATTCTAGTGGGCACAAATCAACAGGAGTTTGCAAGTCTCCAGCTGCCTTTCCACCCAGAGATCAGGCCATCTGGAATTTGCAAACTCCAACAAGCAAGGGGAGATCAGGCTGACTGGAACTTGTAAGCTTCCAGTTTCTTTCCTATCCAAGGGCTTGCAGGACTCAGCCTGTTCCAGAGCCCAGCAACATCCAACTTAGCTTTCTGGTTTTTATAGCTTCCGAGAGAGGGACCCAGCCCAATACAGGATTTGCTTTCTTACAAACCTAGCCTTGTGGCAAACCAGGTGTTATTTTTGTAAACAAGTACAGGGCTTCCTTAGTTGGTTTTTTTTTAAGGAAACTCCATAAACAAATGGAGCCCCTTTAAAAGATATGGAGCCTTCTTAAAAAAAATCTCAACAGTACCACAAAAACAGAACCTGTTGCAAAGTAGTACAGGTTTACCAGGAGGATATGTTTGTCAGAAAGCTGATTGCTGAAGACTGCAAATGCTGACTTGCCTGATCTCCCCTTGCTTACTGGGTGGGAAGGAAGCTGAAGGATTGTGGGGACCCTGCAGGGCAAGAAATAGAGCACAGAGTGCCTCAGAAGGTAGCCTTGGAAGGCCCAGGCAGGCAATCCTTGGGCCTATGTAGGCTTCCTGGAGCCTCCCCCATTTAACGGCATTCAGGCAGAGCAAGGGATGAGGTCATTAAGCAAGGTGGTCGCAACATGCATTCCTAATGGCAGGCTCCATCATAATGATATCTAACGACAATCTGTAATTACTTTTTGTCTTATTAACATTTTAAATCTGTATCTTACATAAAATGTCAAATATAGTTTACATATTTTACATACATGTATGCTCTATATTGTCCTCAAAATCTGAGTAGCAAACATTCCTCTATTAACCACCTCCACCACCACAACAACAAAAAAATAAAATGCTGATTGGAACATGCTAAACCTTCTGTCTTACTAGTCACTGACTATCCTTTGCATGATTACAGAATTGACTTCCCAAATGTAAATTCGATGTAAACATTTGTATAGAATACTGTCTCATGACACCTCAATTTGGTATTTCCTAAATATCATTTAGGAAACAGCCAAATTATAGTTTACATGTAGACAGCCTTTTTCTGAAGCAGATTAAAGCACTGTTATCATAATTTACTTTATGTAGCTTGATTTATGTGGCTCTTTAAAGAGAGAATTGTTTATGTGTGTGTGTATATTCATATAGTGTGGGAAGTGATGACTGCTTATCCTTGGTTACCTGCTGTGTTTGAGGCTATAGGAAAACAGATTTAATTTGCATGGGCATTGAACCAGGTATAGAGGGAGTTCTGTGTCCAGATTGTCATCCTGTCCACACCCTTTCCTGGAAATGTCTGGTCATGGTGTTGCATCAGAGGGGTGACAGTCACCTGGCACAAATGATGGAAACTATACTTATGCCAACTTTCCACTAATGGAGAATTGCCCTGTTTCTGGAAGTACATACATGAACGAGGTATTGTTGCAAAACAAAGCTTTGCCCCAAAGTTTCTGCTTGTTTTGTTTCTTGGCTGAGTTTGGGGAATTTTTCCATAAGCCTAGTTAGTACATAAGGATAGATACTTAATTCAGATTCTATGAATGTGATATATTTCTTAATGTATTTTGCACATACTACATTGTAAAATTTTGAATTTAAAAATATTTTGTTGTTTTGGGAAGAAGAACCAGCTAGCCCAGGCCAAGATACTGATATGCCAATGGAGGTTGATAGCAGTGAAATGAATAGTGATGTTGGGAGAGGATTGGATTATGTGGAAGAACCATCTCCTCCAGAAGACAAAATGTTTTTTATGGATCCAGCAGATCTTGATGGAGACAAAGATGAAGAGGCTGTAAAAACTATCAGGTTGGTAAAATCAAGGCATTGCACTTGGGATCCACATGTAATACACCCTTGCACATCATCTACTGCTTCAGGTTTCTAGCTGTGATATTAAAGACAATATATTGTGCAGTTTACTTTTGGGTATATGGCTTTTGACCAATAAGGAGGCTCTAAAATAGTTCATTAAGAGAAGCAATGTGAAAATATAAGCGACAACATGAGAAATAATTTGTTTTGCTGGGTAAACCATGGATAATGTGGTCTGAATTTAAATGACAATTTTATTATGCTGATTCCAGTTCAAACTCATTCCTAATTTAAGTAAATTAATTTGGAAGAAAAACGTAAGGAATCAGTTTTTACAATGAATGTATGTCTTGTTAAGTCTGGTTAAAGGAACATAGATGCAAATCGGAAAAAAAGCTTTTTGTACTCTTTACACATGTGTAAATGCAACTAATTTGCTCTAAAATTATTATTAAAAAGTTAGAGGGGCAAGTGTAGTTCATGGAACAAGACTATACTTGGATAAATTGCTCATTTATAATTCATTACAAGGCCATATAAAAGGAATATCTTGACATTTATTCCAAATTATACAGTAGTAATAATGAAAGCTATTTTTTTTTAGAATGACATTGTGAAAACAAAGTTTGTAAGTTGATTCTATTACATTCGCAAAAGTACTATCTCTTTATCTAAAATAAAAGTTCCCTTTATCTGCTGTGTATTTTAAATCCTCTCCATGTATAAGTAGGGCTTGGCTTGAATAAACAGAACAGAATGCTTCCCTGCCGTGAATGTAGAAATGGAAGGTGACCTCTGGGTCTCATGTAGAATAGATCTTTATAGTGCTTGTTTTGCCATGCAGAGGAAAGTTGAATGCAAGAGAATTATTTTCATTTATCCAGGAGTTCTGCCTTTTTACTGTATTTTTTGATTTAGTGTAAATCCTTTAATTTGACTAGAAATTTTTGGAATCTAGTTTATACCACATTTTGAAATAAAAATGGTACATAACTCCTGTTTTTATCCTAGCAAGATATTTTAACTGTTTTGATCATATAATGCAAAGATGCCCAATATTGTCAATAGAAAATAGGTCTTCAGGTCATGGAGAAGCTTGTTCAGATTGCACAAAGTAGCCAAAGAGATTGCTTGTACACTCATTCCAAGCAAAGGGCTGATGAAGTAGATACAATGAATGATCAGAGAGAGGCTTCCAGCCCAACGTGCTTTGTAGCCGACTATAGAAGATCATTATTTAGGCATCAATGGTCCTGCTGTACTGATAAATGATTGTGCAATTTATTATTCTTCAACAGCCCATCCACAAGCAATAACATTCCATTAATGAGAGTTGTACAGTCAGTCAAACACACAAAGAGGAAAAGCAGTACAATGGTAAAAGAAGGATGGATGGTTCACTACACAAGTCGAGACAACCTGGTAAGTAATTAAGCTGTCTTCTTGGTGAAAAACTTTTTATTTCCAAGTGTAGAGCATTTTGTATTCCATTCAAGAAATTAAACTATTTAGCTGCTTTCCTACCGAAAGATAAAACTGAAAGACAAGATGGAAAAATACAGTATTACAAATGGAGACCAATGTGGATCTCCCCATCAAATTCTGTGAATAAGATAGGGTTTTGTATTTAATCATCTCTTGAAGCACAGTGGCTCAGTGGCTTAATGATGGTGGAGATGATTTTTGCTCTGACAGTTTGAGTCCTAGCAATGTATTGTGGGTAAGCTCCCGTCATTTGCCTCAGGCTCTGCCCATCTAGCAGTTTGAAAGCATGTTATATGCAAGTACATAAATAAGTACCACTCCAGTGGGAAGATGAGCCACTGCTTTGTGCAGATGGTCATAACCATGCTAGTGGGGAACCTTTCCGGATGCAGTGCCTGTTTGTCAGATGACTTTGATGGCGGAGGGAGGAGGCTCTGGATGATGCTCCTGGATGTTGTTTGTTTTTCTTTCTGGTGTGAAACTAACTCAGCCCCTGTGATGCATCTTGGAAAGTGTGCGAGCTTGAATGGAATGGGCAGCCAAATAATTATTCTGTATTAGCATTATAGTCTCCTGGCTAACATCATCATACACTAAATAAATAATAATCTTGAGGCATGTGATGACTTTTTTGTATCAGATAAAGACTTTTGCAAAGTATTGTGACCATGGTGCAGATACCTAATGCTGTTCCCATGGATTAAGAATTGGGTTAATTCCTTGTGCCAGAAAATGGCATAGCCAATATAAGGAAATGGTTCAAATTCTGTGTTCATTTAATAATTATTTTCTACAGCAGTTCAAGAATGTTTAGAAATTTAGTTTAGGAATGTTGTAATGTAGATGATAATTTTTGATAAAATGATCTAAACACAAATTGAAATTGGTTCAAGTAAATAGTGTCTATACCTAGTTTCTGTGCTGCATATATAAATGTATCTAGAGTGCATATTTAGCTGCTAAGAGTTTGATTTTAAGATGGGCAGCTATACAAATGAAATAAAAAGTTGCTTCTTAAACAGTAACTATTTTGTTGCAGAGAAAAAGGCATTACTGGAGATTAGACAGTAAAAGTCTTACGCTATTTCAAAATGAATCTGGGACAAAATATTACAAGGTAAGAGATTATCCAAATCTCATCTCCTCTTTAAAATTCTATTTGCCTATTATCATTTCATTTTAATTGCTTTCTGCTAGATGATGTACAATTTAAAACTGTTAATATGTCATAGATGTATTTATAATGAGTTGCAGTTTTATAGTTTATCTCTGGTGAACTATTTTCTGTTTTGCTTGTGCATTATATATTATAATTTATGTAGTTATAATCTGATGGAAAGAAATGAGACGTGTGAAATACAGACAGTTCTTGACTTACAACAGTCTGTTTAGTGAGCATTCAAACTTATAACTTATAATGGCACTGAAACAAGTGACTTATGACTTATGACCATTTTTCAAACTTATGGATGTTGCAGGATCCCTGTAGTCATGTATCAAAATTCAAATGCTTGGCAACTGACTCGTATTTATGACAGTTGCATAAATGCAACATAAATGCAACTGTTGGGTTGCCCTGTGAAGAACCTATGTTCAAGAAAACCATGTTAGAAATATTAGTCCCAACTCACACATACTAGGGCCTATCAATAAGAAAACCAAGAATCCAGTTGCACAAAGGAATATTAAAGCCCAAGAGGCCCAGTTTGTCTACTATATGCTGAGGAATGATTGTTTTAAATGCTGAACTGAGGTCGACAAACAGCATTTGTGCAAGAGTGTTTGTTTCCTCTAAGTGCGCCAAGCTCAGATGGAGAACAGAAGAAATAGTATCCTCTGTAGAGTGATTTGGATGATGAGCAAACTAAAGTGAGTCAAATGCTGGAGGGCAGCTAGATACAATAATCTCCTTTATCAGCCTCTCAAAACATTACATAATGAATGGATATAAGTGCAACTGGACGGTAATCATTACGACCCGCAATTGTAGCCTTTTTTGGCACTGGCAAAATAATGGCTGTCTTAAAACACAATGAGACCACTGCTACAATGAAAGATTGAAAATATCTGTAAGGACACAAGCCAACTCATCCACACATTTTCTAAGAACACGCCCAGGGATATTCGGTTAATCGGTTGGACAGCTTGCCTCCAGAAGTTGTGAATGTCCCAACACAGAAAGTCTTTAAGAAGATGTTGGATAGCCATCTGTCTGAAACGGTATAGGGTTTCCTGCCTAGGCAGGAGGTTGGACTAGAAGACCGCCAAGGTCCCTTCCAACTCTGCTATTGTAAATATTACCTGGATCTGCTGCCTTCTGAATGTTAACTTTCTGCAATGTCCTCCAGACTGAGGTAACATCAAAGCTAAGCACTTGCTTATCAGAATGGGGCACAGCTTTCCTAGCAGGGATGCTATTTGATGCCTCAAATCTTCCCAAAAATGTGTTCAACTTATTTAAAAAGTCTGTGTTACCATTGCATCTCAATGGATCCACGTTATAATCTGTAATGGCCTGGATTCCTTGCCACATACACCTGGAGTTTATTGGGTCCTGAAAAAAGTTCTCAACTTTTCTGACAATGGGCTCGCTTTGCTGTTTTCATGGTGCTTTTCAAATTAACTCTGGCTGTTCTAAGTTCCAGCATATTGCCAGATTTAAAAGCCACATTCTGTGCTTTCTGCATCATGAGAACCTCATATGTCAACCATGGTTTTTCATTAGCTCTCACAACAATGTTTTTAAGGACACAGACATCCTCTATGCACTTTTGAATATATGCAGACACAGTGGTGGCATACTCCTCTATGTTTATATACGTATGTTGGGGGCTGGGGATAGGTTTGAATTTATTCTTAATGTTAGAATCTGACAATACAATGCAATACAATACCAATAATACCAATACCAATACTAATACCAATACACAACTTACAACCACAACTGAACCCAAAATTTTATGTTCCTAAGCGAGACATTTAAGTGAATTTTGCTCCAATTTATGACCTTTCTTACCACAGTTGTTAAGTGAATCACTGCAATGTTAAGTTAGTCACATGGTTGTTAAGTGAATTTGGCTTCCTCATTGACCTTGCTTGTCAGAAGGTCAGAGAAGGTAATTACATAACCCAGGACATTGCAACACTCATAAACATGAATCAATGGCCAAGTGTCTGAACTTTGATATGTGACTGTGGGGCTACTGCAATAGTTGTAAGTGTGAAAAATGGCTGTAAGTCACTTTTTTCAGTGCCATTGTAATTTTGAATGGTCGCTAAATAAACTGTTGTAAATTGAGGACTACCTATAATAGATCAGATGTTACAGAATAATCTGCTAAGGAATTAAAATAGGATCTTATAGTATAGTGTAACCTCAAAAGTGAAAGATAATTTCAATATGTAGCTCAGCATTAATCAAACTGGTACATTTGATGCTGGGAACTTCAAAGGTAATTAAACTTTATAGACTGTATAAGAGAATTTCAAAAGGCCATTCACTGATACATTAATCTAACAAAAAAAAACCATTTAGATTTTTAATAAGACATAACTTCATTGGTTTGGCTTACTGAGATGTTTGAGGCTTCCTTGGAAGTATGAATAAGGAACTGGTATAAGTGTACCTACTGAAATGTTCTTAGCTGAGTGCATTACTATTTACCTTTTCTCAGTGCTGTCAGTTGTACTGTTGTATATTCTTACAAAGAGGTCTCCCTGTTTGAGTTTTAATATTTTACATTTTCTGCAGGAGATTCCACTTTCCGAAATTCTTCAGGTGACTCAGCCACGGGATTTCTCAAATATGGTGCAAGGCAGCAATCCTCACTGTTTTGAAATAATAACTGATACAATGGTATACTTTGTTGGAGAGAATAATGGCAGCAGTCACCATAGCCCTGTTTTGGCTGCTACTGGAGTTGGATTGGATGTAGCCCAGAGCTGGGAGAAAGCTATTCGTCAGGCTTTAATGCCAGTCACACCTGAGACCAGCACTTGCATTACTACAGGACAAGGAAAAGATCACAGTAAGGACTGAAAAAGGCTTCATGATGGGCTGCTAAATGACAAAGTACTGTCTTTAATATTGTGGGTCTCTTTCCTAGTATACAAAACTTAATTAATGCCATTGTTTTATATGTAGTAGTTTGAGTTACATCACAAGTACCAACCAATTTATTACCCTTTATAAAAAAGTACATTCTTAAGGCATTCAGTAAGAAGCAATACATTCAGAAGAAGTGTTTAGTGGCTCTCTTGCATAGTATGGAACAATTTACCGTTACTGTCATCTAAGCTTTATCCTGAAAAGATGCTGCTTGGCATTGCTTTCTTCATAGTTTCAATTTATCTCACCAATAGCTAGAAAAGCTTCAGCTCATATTTCACACATTTAGATTTATAATTTAAATTAGATTGACAATTATTACCATAAGGCATCAGATGACTTAATTATTATCCTACCAATAGTGTCCTAGTAATGACTTGATAATTTTACATGCAACTACTATGATCTTCATTCAAACATGAAACTTTGTGGAACACCATGTGAGTAATACCAGGTTTAAAAGAGGGATTATATGTTTTTCATTGCAGAAGAATTATGTGTCAGCATTTCTGTTTCAAATTCCCAGATCCAAGAAAATGTGGTAAGTCAACAAAATAAAAACAAAATATATTCTTCTAATCATTCACTGTTAATTGCTACTTGATGGATATTTTATATTGAAATCAAGAATGTTGGAAATATAAAGGAGCAAATTGTTCACTTTTTAAAAATAGCCCAACATATGCTGTTTATTAAAAAAGATTGTTATACATTTAAATAACAATAACATGAGGAATTTTGTAAATGATACATTTCCTCAAGTGCAATTTGCATGGATTAAATATACAAGTGTTCAAACTTCAGATATCAAAAGTAATATGTTCTTGCATGCCTGAACAGGTCTTTTACATAATTCATCATCAGAATTTGTGTCACAACTCTTCTCTCTTTAAACTGTGTGACGTGTAGTTCCAATTTCAATTTCTGCTATGGTGTCATTTTATCAAGTGAGTGAACCTAATATTTCCTTTCTTCTGTCTATATCCTTTTCATAGGATATAAGTTCAGTGTATCAGATCTTTGCTGATGAGGTGCTTGGTTCTGGTCAATTTGGAATTGTGTATGGAGGTAAGTTTGAATAAATATTACAGTACATGTGAAATATTTTGTCTGTAGGATTGATATATAAAACAGACTTGCTGTTTCTTATTAATGGAAATATATGGTTATAGAAGTAATGTACTAATGGTGCAAGATTAATGGTGTGATATACAGTATAGTAAAGATATAAGTTCAGTTCCAACTGTCTAAAATATCATGGGAAAATGCTGGAGAACTGCCAGTGATTTTAGGTTACCGTATTTTTTGGCGTATAAGAAACACCGGAGTATAAGATTTTGAAGAGGCAATTTTAAAAAAAAAGTAGGTAGAGAGAGGGATAGAGAGGGAGAGAAAGAGAGAGAAATACAGTAGGTAGGTAGGGAGAGAGAGAGGGTAGGTAGATAGAGGGATAGAGAGGGAGAGAAAGAGAGAAATACAGTAGGTAGGGAGAGAGAGAGTAGTTAGATAGGTAGGTATGCAGATAAAGGAAAAGAGAGAGAGAGAAATAGAGATAGATAGAGAAATACAGTAGGTAGGTAGGGAGAGAGAGAGGGTAGGTAGGTAGAGGGATAGAGAGAGAGAAATAGAAAGAGAGAGAGAAATACAGTACATAGGGAGAGAGAGTAGATAGGTAGGTAGATAAAGGGATATATATAGAGAGAGAAAGAGAAAGAGAGAGAGGGAGAGTAATACAGTAGGTAGGGAGAGAGTGTGTAGGGAGGTAGGTAGAGGGATAGAGAGAGAAATAGAAAGAGAGAGAAATACAGTAGATAGGTAGGGAGAGAGAGGGTAGGTAGATAGAGGGAGAGAGAGAGAGGAAGGGGGGAGAAATACAGTAGGTACGTAGGGAGAGAGAGAGAGAGAGAGAGTTGGTAGGTAGGTAGATGTTTCCAGGTGTATTTATCCATGTGCTGGAGAAGTTTTTGCACTCTGCAGACCTCCCAAAAACGGCCCGTTTTTTTTGCGAAAACAGGCCCGTTTTTTTTAAAGCATGAATATCCTTTAGGAGGCTTGCAGAGTGCTCTGGGGGGGGAGAGCAAAAATGGCCCATTTTTTTGTGAAAATTGGCTTGTTTTTTGTCAAAAAATTGCATGCATAGCCTTTAGGAAGTTTATAGAGTGCTGCTGGGGGCTGGAGGGGAGGAAATGGGCCGTTTTTTACTCATTTCTGCCCTCCTCAGCCCCCAGGAGCTCTCTAAAGTCTCCATAAGGCTATGCATGGCCATTTTGGTGAAGGGCCGGGGCTTCAGGAGGCAAAAAAGTGCTGTGTTTGATGTATAAGACGCACCCAGATTTTCAGCCTCTTTTTTGAGGAAAAAAGGTGTGTCTTATACTCCGAAAAATACAGTAATTTTGTTCCAATCTGGAACTTTAAAATCATTAAGACCATATTTCCCAAAATTGGGAAGTGTAGTTTTAACACTTATGAGGGCCACAGGTTGAAGAAGGCAGCTGTATATTTCACAAACTATTTGGGCATGATATAAATCAATTTCTTTAAAATGATATCATTTCATAGTTTCTTTTTAGCAGATTCCACATTACAACTCATTTCTGCTGCCATAAGACAGGTCTTTTTCATAAACTGATTCTTTGGCAGCTCTGCTAACCACTAAAGTGCTACTTTTGTTCTTCGAAATATATATCTGATAATGATTTTTATTTCCATATAATTAGCAGTGCTTTTATAGTTGCCTTTTACTGGAGTGTTTCTGCTGTCAATTGTCTTTCATAGCTTGTATACCCTAGCTTGTTATAGATCCAGCAGTACTGAATATGGAACTCCAGTTGAGGTGTAGGCCTCTAAAATAGTAGCAGTACAAGTCACTTGATATCACTTGTTTAATATTCCGTCCCTATTGTGAATATTTTATATACTCAAATAGAATAATTAGGTGCTATAATATTATAACAGGTATTTCTTTGTTCCAATATCCTGTAGAATTGTATATAAAGCAGTTATTGAAAACTTAGACCAATGTGAAAAGTACATTTGAAAATGAATAAAGTGCCTTTCCGTTTAACAGCTGAAATACATTTGTTAAATGGGATATATATCTGTATTTATAAAATAGTATACCAGTATATCTTCTAAAATGTGTAGTTTGACTTCTAATGGACTAAAAGAAACATTTTAAATATTTCCTTCTCAACCTGAATGTCTGTGGAGATTCTCAGTCATCCAGGTCATGGTTGTCCCAAGTGTTTTTTTTTTCAAGAGGCAACTGGACTTTCTGGGTTTTCTTTGAAGACATTGAAGAAGAACTGAAGAAGCTTCTTGGATGAGAAGCGAAATGTCTTCAAAGAAAAACCAGAAAGTATAATTGCCTCTTGAAAAAAAAAGCACCTTTGGGATCTCAACTTGAATAAGTTTGTGATGCAAATAACAACCTTAAGCAGAAAGTTCAGGACCAGTTTTTACATTATATGGATACTCCATAAGCCACACAGGCATGTCTAGCCCTATTTTTGTATCTCCTTCCCCTGAATTCCTGGGATAGTGCTGCTGATATTTGGAATCAAAAGAATAATTTTTAGTTTAATGATTTCCAAGTCTTTCATTCTTTTTTAGTACAATTTTACCAGAGATGTGTTAAGTTTCTGGAGTTTAACAACTCTATTTAATGACAATTTAACTCTCTGTGATGAAAAGAATTGTGGGTGCTTCAACATTGGAGTTTTAAAGAAGAGATGGAACAACCACAGGGCTGAAATGGTATAGGGTTTTCTGCTTGAGCAAGGGGATTGGACTAGAAGATCTCCAAGGTCTCTTCCAACATTGTTATTCTGTTAAACCCATTAAATACATGTTATTATCAATACTGCCTCTTTGTGCAAGACTACCTGAGAGACTTCCCTTTTCTCTGTGTATTTTTGCAGGTAAACATAGAAAGACTGGACGGGATGTGGCAATTAAAGTAATTGATAAAATGAGATTCCCTACAAAACAAGAAAGCCAGCTCCGCAATGAAGTGGCTATTTTGCAGGTACAAAAATGATGTAAAACTGCATCACAGTGTGTTTTTTAAAATTAGAAATTGTGAGTGTATAATAAGCATCTATGTTGAGGTGCCATTTCTTGGTAGCTTTTTGTGTGTGGTATTTCTTATTACTCGTAGATTACCTTTTGACCTGCTAAACTAAGCAACCATTGTCCTAAGTATTACAAAGGATTGCCTGAGTGCTTTTGAAATAGTAAAACACAGAATGGGTTTTTTTTTGTCTGAATACTATCTGTAATGAATCCTTCCTGAGTTTATTCATTTGATATTTTGTCTGAGTCAGTATTGTATATTTCCTTAGAATTTGCATCACCCTGGGATTGTAAACCTGGAATGTATGTTTGAAACTCCTGAAAGGGTTTTTGTTGTGATGGAAAAACTTCATGGCGATATGTTAGAAATGATTCTTTCCAGTGAGAAAAGTCGGCTTCCAGAAAGAATCACCAAATTCATGGTCACTCAAGTGAGTCATTTGTTTTCAATGTTTTCTTCCTTAGTGAGAGAGCCTTCTCTATTGTGGTCATTCCTTTGAGGAATGACCAAGAATGATGGGTATATAGGTAGTCCTCGACTTACAAACAGTTCATTTAGTGACCATTCAAAGTTACAATGGCACTGAAAAAAATGATAATTTTTCACACTTAATGAACATTCTAGCATCCCCATGGTCGCGTGATTAAAATCCAGATGCTTGGGAATTGACTTGCATTGATGATCCCCGCAGTGTCTAGGGGTCATGATCATCTTTTGCAAAGTTCTGAAAAAAGCAAAGTCAATGGGGAAGCCAGGTTTACTTAACAACTGTGTGACTAACAACTATAGTGATTCACTTAACAACTGCAGCAAGAAAAGTTGTAAAATGGGGCAAAATTCACTTAACAACTGCATTACTTAGCAACAAAAATTTGGGGCTCAATTATGCTCATAAGTTGAGGACTACCTATATACTCTCTTCGAGTGGCCTTAAAGATGTGTTTACTCCTGACTGTTTTTAAAAAAATGATGTCAAGGTTTAGTTTATAATCATACCATTGCTGTTTTCATTACTTTGTGTTGCTTATATAATCACTTTATTTGTTTTAGGCTAAAAATGTTTGTTTTTTTTAAGTCACTTTTACTACCAAGAAAAATTACAGTGTGTGGCAGGTAATTCTAATTGGGGATTAATATCCTAATATTGAATTCATTGTGTACTTAATAGGAATGGTAAGAGATTGAAATTTCATGCCATTATAAAGAAGTTATTTACAAGTTACTTACCAGTTACATTTGGAAGTAGCTGAATGTAACTAGCTGAATAATGATGCTGTCTCTTTGGGAAGCTGGATTAGAACCCATCCCCTCAATTCTTTTTTTTTTTTTAATTGAAGGGTAGACTTCTGGAAGGATTCCAACAAAAGAGTGCATTTGCTTTAAAACAAATATTGAATTGAAGCATACTCTCCTGGATTGTAATGTCTGTTGGGGTCTTGGTACAGAACTGATTTTGAAAATGCCTTTTCCCTTTTTTAAAGATACTTGTTGCTTTGAGGAACTTACACTTCAAGAATATAGTACACTGTGATTTAAAGCCTGAAAATGTACTATTAGCATCAGCAGAACCCTTTCCTCAGGTGGGTAAGGAAATAAGTATTCTTTGTATAACTGTCTGTTGTGTAAGAGGAAATCTAGAATAAGATTTAACCTTTTTTCTTAAACTTTCTATTTTTTTTTAGTGATTGACAAAATTATTATTTACAGCTAGAATATTTTTTCCTCTAATTTAGCTATGTTTGATTTGGAAAAAAAGTTATAGTACTGAAAATATATTTCTCCTAGACTAATGTGCTCATTTTCCAAAAGAATTGGAAAGAAAATTAAAAGCCTTAATAAAGTATAACTAATGCAAAGAAACTGCTATAACTTGCTAATTATATTGGCCATATTTCATGTTTGTAAACACTCCATACACCCTATTTGATTTAAAAAAAAAATCCACCATGATAGTTTGTTTTTAAGCTAACTGCATAGTAACTTAAGTAAAGAATATTTGTTTTACAGGTAAAGCTGTGTGATTTCGGTTTTGCACGCATTATTGGGGAAAAATCTTTTAGGAGGTCTGTAGTAGGAACTCCAGCTTATCTTGCCCCAGAAGTACTTAGGAGTAAAGGCTACAATAGATCGTTGGATATGTGGTCTGTGGGTGTCATCATCTATGTGAGCTTAAGTGGCACATTTCCATTTAATGAAGATGAAGACATAAATGATCAGATCCAAAATGCAGCATTTATGTATCCACCAAATCCCTGGAAGGAAATATCTAATGAAGGTAAATATCATTAAAAAACACCTACTTCGTGTTTTCTGCATATTAGTAAAATCTATAGCATAATTGGAGTGTAGCAATGACATGACATTAAATTAGATGAGTAGTGATTGCTATTCAGGAATCATTTGGAACCATTTTCCTGTGACTGAGCAAAAGGAAAATAAAACTTTTACTCTTAAAATAGCAAGCTGCCCACTTAATGAGTTAAAGTCTGATGTGTACTATAGTTGATAAGATTTTTCCTTGAACTTCTTAAAACTTCTCAAGCTTTGGTATTATGAGACAGCGTATTCTGGGCTTTCCAGGGTATAGAAAGGGAAGTAGATTTAATTACTGATGAAGCTCCATACTGTAGTCTGTTCCCTGTGAAAAAATGTTTCTTAATTACAGTGTGTTTAAGTAGACATACTATATCTATTTTCAAGGCTACCTTCAAGAGCATTCAGAAGCTTCAAACGGTGCAGAGGGCAGCAGTGAGGGCTTTGGGGCTTCTAGAATGGCCCTTGTTACACTCCTGTTCCGCAAGCTGCATTAGCTACTGGTTTGCTTTGGGGTGCAATTCAAGGTGTTGGTTATTACCATTAAAGCCTTACATGGCATGGGTTCAGGGTGCTTGAGGAACCATCTCACCCCATGGCACAGACTTGCCCCATCCATGTGGGCATAGGAGGTATGCTGTGGATCCTGTTGATCAAGAATTCCAGCCGGCAAGTTCCAGGATCCACGTGAACCTTCTCTGCCATGGTGCTGTCATTGGAAGATCTTGTCCCTCCTAACATTCCATAAGTCCTCCAAAACCGGACTCTGCCAGTTGTCCTGGATTCCTAATGGGGAAATGTCATTCTAGTGGTTGTTGATTCCACCTCCCCCCCCCCCCTTGCACATCCTGCTCCCTCTCTTTCCATCTTTTAATTATTATTTTATGTGTCTGTGTGTCTGTGTGTGTGTGTGTATGTACATGTGTGTGTTTACTACTGCCCAGAGTTCCCATGTGGTGAGATGAGTGATACATTTTAATAAATAAGCCTAAAACACTACTTCTGAATATATATTTCCCCAAAAAATATGGGGATATATTTGGTTTGTAGACTTATAACATATTATATTTCTCTGATTTGAGTATGCTATACTGCTATTAGGTACATTTAATTCTGATGCTGTGTATGAATTGGCTTCTTGGTTTTTCTTTTTTTAGTTCAACTACATACTTTTTACAAAGATTTTGATGATGGATAGAAACTTGAAAGGGGTGCTGAAACCCCAAAGCTTGTATGGAATGCCAGCATTGAAAATTAGGAAATAGACAAAGCATCATATAAATAATTAGAGGATTTCTACTTTAAGAAACAGTCTTAATTCTTAAATTTGGTTTCAAATTAAAGAATCTTGGTGTTTATTTAGAGTTAGATGACTCCTTTATGATTATCAATATTTTTTAATTTTATTTTTTATATCATTAAAAAAGCTTTAACTCTTCCTCCAGAATAAATCTATCAATGTGTGTGAGGTGGGTGTGGGGAATAGATAGAATGATGGAAAGGGATGAAATATTTACCCTGATTGCTTTTTTATTTGCTTCCTCAGCTACTGATTTAATAAATAATTTGCTTCAAGTGAAGATGAGAAAACGTTATAGTGTTGACAAATCCCTTAGTCATCCTTGGTTACAGGTAGAGTTACATATCATACTATTATGAATCATATCTGACAAGTCTGCAATGAACTGAAGCCTTGAAAATATTTAAGAGTGTAACTCAGTTCAAACTTTCTATCATCTTCCCTATCCCATTTTTGGAGGTATTATTCTGCCTTTTTAATACGTTGTGCTCAATTAACAATAATACTCATGTATTTATGTATTACTATTAGCTTAGATAATATTTTATATTTATTATTTATGTTCCTCACTCTGAAAGAATATGGAGCAGAATATATAGTAACTTTGGGTTTACAAAAAGTCTGGGGAAGGACAAAAATGTGCCCCACTTAATTATTCAGATTTAATGGATCAACTCAGATGGAGAATCTAGATGATATCCAGACTCACAGGATGTCTATTATTTGTCCTCACTAACAATTAATTTGGTGGCCTCTCTGTGGAGGAAGAGGGACTTAGGGTAGCCAATAGCTGCATCAGGAGCAACAAGGCAGCAGTTTCTTGCGGCCTTGGATATGTAAGAGTTTAAAATATCAAGCAACACTAATTCTCACCTTTTTTGGTATAGCTTTTTCTTTAAACCCCCAATTCAAATCTATTCTGTAAAATTTGAAACTTTGCCTAACTTATCCCATGTATTTTACTAGTTTATATTTTCTATTCTTTTTTAGTCAGCTGTTTTACCAGGTATCCAATCTTGCTTCTGGTTTAAAATATTATGCATCATTTTCTTTTTAAGGTGAATAATTTCTCTATTAAAATGTACTTTGTTTGGAAAGGCCAAAGCAGATGGAATTGTCTAACTTACCATACATGCATCAATGTGGTCACTGGGAAATTAATTTGTACTGTATTTTGAATATTGTTAAATTTTCCATTAAGTTTTTTTCTCTTTGCAGGATTATCAAACTTGGCTTGATCTTCGGGAGTTTGAAACTCGCATTGGAGAGCGTTACATTACACATGAGAGTGATGATGCTCGCTGGGAAGAACATGCATATGAGCACAATCTTGTATATCCCAAACATTTCATTATGGCTCCCAATCCAGATGATATGGAGGAAGATCCGTGATTCATTGGAAAAAGCATTTTAACCAAGTTCTGATACTTTGGAACAATTGATGCTTTTGATTGTTCAAATGATTCAGTGTCTAAAGCTATGAAGGCAAGATCCTGCATCACTTTGTGGATGGACATGTGGGAAGCATTTTTATCTCTCTAGTTTCTATGATTATGAATATCATCCAGCACTGAGTTAAAAGCCATGAAGTATTTCTGTAATATTGCCTTATTGGTACATCACAGAGATGTTACTGACAGCTTATGTACACAGAGACTTGATGTATGTGAAATTTCTTCTTCTTTTTTGTAATTTACATAGTAACAATTTTTAATGTTTTCTAGTTCTTATCTATTTAGGCAAAGATACTATTTTCTGATATTTAGATAACATTTATAAGGAAGCTATAAAGAATCATGAACATATATGCCATGACCAAAACCTAGAAATATGCAAAACTTTTCATTCTGAAATGTCTTGAGTACAAAACTTCATGAAACTTTGCAAACATCCCTTTCAAGTGCAAAATTGAAAAATTGAGGCATATAATTCAATAAAACAGTTTGTTAAGCTATGGGAATGCAGAATAGCAATAGCACCTGAATACCATACACATTGTACAAGTTACTGCAACTTAAGTTGAAGTTCTGACAATGTGTTCTCATCTCTGCATATATCTTTTTTTAAAATTGCAAGATTCCTTGGCCATTTTATTACCAAAATAAAAATGCTTTTGTTACTTTTCTACCTTTCTAGCAGGTTTGTAGTCACTTTCTTAGAGCAATTCTCTAAAAGATTAGATGCTAGAAAAATAGATAATTGAAACATTTAATGTGAGAAAGCTTCAACAGAATATAATGCAATTATTTAATATGAAAATATCATTTCCTTTTAATATTTTTATATTGGTTTTTCTGTTAGCCAAACATCCTATTTTTAGTTGTAATATTTTTCTAATATCCCAATTTCAGATAGTTTAAAAAAATCTTTTTTATGATGATGGGAACTAAAATGCAGAAAATTATAACTCCTCAATTCATTCATGCAGAATGAAGAATAGTATTTTATTGATAGATTACTTATCACTTAATGATGGAAAAATTGAAGGACTGTACTGAGAAAGACATACAGAGGTATAGTCTTAATCAGAATTAAATCTAGAAAAAACATTTCTCTTTTCTAGTTATTGAACTAATAATTTGCCAACTGCTACCTTGCCCGCATTAGATGTTAGAATCAGGGCTGGAAAAGATATCCACTGCAGAGATGGGGGATTAAATGTATCTTGCGGACTCCAATGATTGAAAGGAAATACTCAAAAGTAGATATGATGGAAGTTGACATGGAATAGTTGAAAGTATTCTTAGACTGAAATCGCCCGAGCAAGCTAAATCCCAGCCTAATCTCTACTAGAACTGAACGTATCTGTTTTTACCTGACTTTTTTTTTAATGCCAAAGTAGACTCATAGATGTTCCCAGTGGTGTTCATTAACAGGGCTATTGTATATGTCTCCTTAGAAATATATCCCACTGAGTTCAATGGGACTTACTTCCAAGTGAGTATGTACAGTTGAATAGCTATAATTTAAATAGTTGCAAGTAACTTCTAGAGAATGTATTGTACTTCATGTTACGCCTGTTAGGTTATTCTTTTGTTTTCAGGATAACAATGTTATGTTTTCAGGATAACAAATGTTATATAGCAGTAGAACAAGAATACAAATGTTATTGGGGCCAAAGAAAAAAATAACTGGAATGTTTCTATTCTATAAAGCTGTTACACATACTCTACAACAATAAAATTGCATAGCTAGCATTCTTAAACTGTTCCTTTGAATGCCTAAATTACTGCATCAAAGCTTTAAATTGGCATTTGTTCCAGATGAATTTGTACCCAGAATTGCATTAGCATTAATATTTCTTTTTGAGGTAAGTTGCATTCATCGAAAAATAGTGCTGTATTGATTCTAGAAAATACTTTAGTAAAACCTATAGTCTCAAAAGACACTGTCAAGTACTTTTTATATTTTTATATATCTCATTGTTTGTAAATATCCTCTAAGCTTGAAATAAATTTTATTTCCCTACTGTGTCTTTTTCTATTCATAAAAAGACTTTTGCGGTAAGAGATTAGAATGATTAGTACTATAGTATTGTCAAGTTAGTTTGAATCCGTTATGTGAAATTTGGTCCAGTTCTAGATTTTTCCTCAAGCTCACTAAGATGCACTATTGAAGTGAAATATGAGACAACAGCCAGTGTTTTTAATGATATTCTTGGCAATAGCTTGTAGCAAACTTGAGTTGCAACCTTTTTGAATAGTCTGTTTAGCCAAGTCATATTGGATGTTTTATTATTATAAGCATGATATAATAGTTGTGGAATTTAGGAAGTAGTCCTCAGAAATTAGGACAGGCTGCTTATATTAAAAAGCAAGAATGAACCAGTGCTTATATCGTTTTTTGTCCTTCATTTTTCTGAAATGAATTACAAACAATATTAACACATTAACCATTTATTACAACATAGCATAGAGCTGCATTTACAAATGAAAAGGAGCTTGCACTGTTACTCAATTTGTACTAGCTCTCTGTTTTCTGAAAATAACCTGCTCGCTGGTAGCCATATATAGGTAATCCTTATCTTATGAAAATTGAAACTGGAATTTTTGTTGCTAAGCTATGCAGTCATAAAGCACAGCCCCATCACTTAGTGATGGCAACTCCCTACAGTCCTGGTTGTTGTTGCTTACTGAATCTGTGGCTGTCAGTGGGAAATCCAGCAGGAAGTTGCAAGCACCAGGTTGGCAGGCAGCTATTGCTAGGTTGAGAAGGGAATAAGGATGTGTATGAGAGCAGTGAAATTATCCCTCAAATTTGGAAATTCTCAGGGGAATGAATTAAAGAGCAAACTTTAAACCCTTTCACGGTACAGAATTGTATATTTTTTTCCATCTAAAACTCCTCTTCCCTTTCAGCAGCATTGTTTTGTTTTTAATTTTATCTTATCAATGATTCCCTATATTGGTTACATGAGCATGATTGAAATTTCCACAGTTAAAGTAACTCAACTGTCTTCCTAATAGATCTAAGTATAGATCCTTAGGGAAATTTAGATGTTTACCAAATGCATATTCTGATTTGGGGTTCATTTCCATAAAAGTTCTCCAAAGCCAGCAACAGGTGATGAAAGTGAATGATCTGGCTTAAATCTGTAATGAGGTAAAAGGGCAAAAAAATAAAAGCGTTCTCCCATTTTATCCATGAGCATTTGATAACCTTGAAACAGATGACTTCGAGTGACTGCATCGTCAGTATTCTGCAGTAGAACCTATGTTAAAAAAAAGATATTATTTTGCCATCCTAAAATTTACTCCTCTCCTTCCCAATCTGTATATAAATCATGTAGTTTAATCTGTATATAAATTATGTAGTTTTAGGTATCAGTTCTGTCTGTTGAATAAATGCAAGAGCCAGAAGCAATGATTTAACAATTTTTGATTTCTTTTGTTTTCCTGAACAAAAGAAACAGTGGTTAAGATAGAAACATAGCTTCACTCTGCCTTCAGCCCTGAAATTTTCTATCTTCGTAAGGGCCTAAAGATGTGGCTCTGACAGTTGGCTAGAGGCCCCCTCTTGGGGGCACAGGACAATGGAGGTGGTTGAGATAAAATGAAAGGGTTTCCTTATGTAAGTTGCTTTGAGCTCTTGGCGAAAGCAGGTTATTAATGAATAAATTAATTACAAAATTAGCCCTTACCTGTAATCTAACATCGATGCCCATATTTTTCAAGAATTCCTTTTGCTTTAATGGTCCCAAAGTGGCTACTCTTTTCTGTACCATTCTTCGCAAGTAGCTGAAATCTACATCAGCAGTGAGATCTGCAGATCCTGGTGACAGTAATGTGTCATGAAGTTTATGACCACGGAATCCCTGAAAATAGAAAATAAGTAAGAGAAGTTCACCCGTGTGCTCTGTTAAGATTATGGGTGGTCAATTTTATTTCTGAAGGTGAGTCCTGATTATTGCTACCTTACAGTTGCAAGAAAAAGTATGTGAACCCCCCGGGATTACATGGAGTTTTGCATGAATTGGTCATAAAATGTGCTCTGAA